GAGTGGCACCCACGTCGGCCAAGGGACCCCCGTCGGCCGAAAAGGTGCCAACTCAGATTATGGTCCTGAAGCCAAGGAACCCGGGTGCCCTCGTCGGCCGCGCCCTCGTCGGCCGTGCCCTCGTCGGCCACGCCCTCGTCGGCCCCGAAGACTCCACAGAACCGGATTCTGCACTTACTTATTTGTACAGCCCATTAGTGGCTTTGTATTCGGCCCAGTAGCGGTCCAGTTGTAAATGGGCCTCCCAAGCCCAAGGCCTTGGGAGTAGTTATAGGGGTTACAAATTCATTCTATTGAAACATATTATTGCACTTCTCTCTCTAGCTCTCACTTCTCTCTAGATATACTCTATCAAGTTGTTTATGGGATATGCAATCAATAGTGCACACACTCCAGACCTAGCAACAGCACTAGAAAAGAACTGAAAGATCAATCACCACCATCTCTAGAAAAACCGGAAAAATATCGGTGGGCGTAGCTCAACCGGTAGCGAGGTAGTGCCACAAGGGTTATCTCCCGGGTTCGAATCCTGGCAAATGCGATGAGAGATTACTATGCTAAAAAATGCATGGGGCCTCTGCAAGTACCGGAGACAGAGCCCCACCCTCTATCTACCAGGATAGTACATCTCCGAAATGTCACATTATATAAGCATGACATTAGATGTCCACAATTCTATTCCCGCGACACAGAATCAAGGGAGGTCTTGTAATGTACTTGGACCAATATTATTAGACTAAAATGATATTATTAATTAATTATAACCTCGCTCTCTCGGATCCCATCCAACTGATCCCGATAAAGACGCAGAGTATACCGAGAACTTTGTTCTCAATTAAGCCGACATGCCCACCTTCATAAAACTAAGTTATTATGCTGTGACCTACAAATATATTAATATACTACGAAGTAATATTTATTATGTAAAATTTCAAATAATTATACCTGTAACCATAGGGCATATCCTGTAGATTCTCAAATGGCAAAATGTTTCGCGGTCGCACCATGGGCAATCTCTCCCACGCCCAAATCTGTAATAGAAGCAAGCATCCCCCAATATTTTTCCTGTTGGCTTTGGCGGCCTTGCACATGTTGTGATACAGGAATCCCAATGCTGCTGAGCCCCAACTCCACCGTCGTGCTTCATCAGGTGGTCCCTGCAACAACTCTAAAATGTACAATTTTATTTTGTTTCCAATAGTAGAGGGGAACAATAACCCACCTACTAGTTGCCAAATTAAATGAGCACCCTCGTGTATGTGATGAGTTCCTCATTTGTGCTATGTTGATGTACTGACCAACGTTGTATGGCATTCATTCTTATATAAGATATGTGTAAGTCATTGTTGTTTGGCGTGAAACCGGCGAAGTCTGTGCACATCTGCACCCTAAGTGCCTTCGAACTAGTCCTAGGTTCGGACAGTGGTTCGCCGTCGACAGGCAACCCCAACAACACTTCTACGTCTTGTAAGGTGATGCCCACCTCACCAAAAGGCAAATTAAAAGCATGTGTCTTGGGTCTCCATCTCTCAATCAACGTCGTAATAAGCGACCAGTCTAACTGCAACCTTCCGATGCCGTCGATGCCATAAAATCCGGAGGCCTTCAGCAACGCTACCACTCCTGGATGACGCGAGTCGTCTTTGTACACCATTGAACAATATATATTACATCTTAACTTCTCATCCAAGGATGTAGCACTATTCCAGATAAGGTCCGCGCGGTGCGCGTAATGTCGCATCACCAGCACAGACCGATCAACTGGGTCCATAAGTGGTATTTGTGCCGTCATTCGTATCTCAACTAACAATAAAAATTATATATTAGTGTTGTATATGTGTGTGTATGTTATAATGACATATTTTATTAAATGAAATTATAAATTACATAAAAAAATTTCAATGAGACTATATTAGCGTTAAGTATTACTACCTCCGTCCCCCTATGTTTGGGACAAAGGGGTGTGGTGGGAGTTTTAAGAAAAAGTAGAAATGTGTGGTTGATATTAAATTGATAAAGTGTTAATAAAGTAAGAATGAATTGTAGCCACCCAAATATTACCAAATGTGGTATGAGACAAACTTAATGGGACGGATGAAAAAGGTAAAATGAGACAAAGTTAGGGGGACGGAGGGAGTACATTATAATATATGTACGATTGATATTGGGCTTATCCATTAAACAATATTACCACCATGCTAGAAACTAGAAAAGGACTAGTTCTAGACGAGGTTGTGAAAATTGTACCAGTATAGTGCAATTATAATATATGTACTGATACAAATTTTAGACTTGCCACTGAGTAATATTATCATTGTGCCAGAAACTAGAAAAGGACTAGTTCTAGACATAACATTTGCAAGAAATTAGAAAATGACTAGTTCTAAACGAGCTTGTGAAAATTGTACCAGTATAGTGCAATTATAATATATGTACCAATACAAATTTTAGACTTGCCACTGAGTAATATTCTCACTGTGCCAGTAACTAGAAAAGGAATAGTTCTAGACATAACATTTGCCATAAACTAGAAAAGGACTAGTTTCTAGACGAGCTTGTGAAAATTTTACCAGTATAGTGCATTTATAATTTATGTTTGCTTTTATGGCTCAATTATAATGCACGTTATGAACTAAATTATATTATAGTGTTATTTGGGAATAAATAATGATGACTAAATTAAAATGTTCAACTAATTAAACTAAACTTAAATTTGTAATAGCTTCATCGTCTCAAATTACCATATACACTAATTTATTATTTATTACATCAGTAACAAATATTAGTGAACGCATATTGAGAAATATTAAATGTGCTTACATTATCAACATAAATTAACTACTATCAAAGAAACACTACAAATTAAATAATTATAAGTTGTGGACTAATTATTTCTATTGTTATATATTTAGTATGACATACATCAACAATCTTAATAGCAGTACAAAAAATTAATCGTAAAGAGTAAAGATATAATTAAAATTCTAACCTTTATTTCAAGAACTCGGAGAATAGAATTAGCAAGAACACTCAATATTTTTTTCTAACTGAATTTGTTTTTATTGTAGTAGACGGAATATGATGTTGAAGAGATTTAAATAGGTTAAGTTTGAGGTTGGGAGTATGGATTTCCATGCAAAAGAGTGGACAATTGAGATGAGTTTGTTACATGTTGAAAAATGGACCGAAGAACCACGATCCGGGTAGATTTTTTCGACCAGGCTTCAATATTCGGATTAGTGAAATCCGAATTGCTTTGCTTCTGATTGGGCCGCAGTACTCCTGACAATCATGATGGAGACAATCCTAGCTGCATTACTTGCACTCCTGACATCCAATTTTTTTTTCTTTTATTTGGTTTTTAAAATTTTCGCCAGATCCGTTGTTTGGGAATGGAGGCATGAAAGTCCCGTACATCCATCCTTTTCTCCAAGTAAAAAATATTCTAAGAATGACAAATTATAACCTGGGTTGAATATTTTAGAAAATCACAACAAAAATCTCAAGCATAACTATTCTATCTAATTCATCTAAGGATGTTTTTATTTGGACTGTAATTTGCTGGTCTGGTCTGGTCTGATCTGGTCTGATCTGGTTTGGTCTGGTTTTTTTGTATTTTTATAACTATTCAAGTCTGATCTGGTCTGGTCTGGTCTGGTCTGATCTGGTCTCGGACGACGAATTAAGGTCCAAGTAAAAACATCCTAATAATGAAATCAACTGAGACCGTAAGGGCGTAAGGAGTATCTATCAATGAACAAGCTATTCATAAAATACAAAAAGTAATTGCCCCATATAGGACCAAAACAAAGGTGAAATGCAAAAATAGGACTTGATATGTTTTCTTCCCTTAATAGGCCCAATTTACTCCTACCGTTAAAAACATGAAAATTAGCATCCCAATTTTGCCCTTGAACCCATTTACACATTCTCTCCCCCCTTCCCCCCTCATAGATCGATCGATTATTTCTCTAGAGCCCAAAGTAACAACATCCCATCTTCTTCGCATAGATCTGCCGCGTCGCTTACTCCACCGAATGGTGCTTCCATTGCCTTTGCCTTCATCGCCTCCACCGCCTCTGCCTTCGTCACCTCCACCGCTTCGCTGCTTTCTCCATCCACCATCATCAACTCTATTTTGCTTTGGATTTCAGGTTTCTTCTTCTTCTCCTTCTTCTTCCCCTTCTCCTCCTTCTTCTTCTCCTCCTCCTCCTTCTCCTTGTCCTTCGTCTTCATCTTCCTTTTTCAAATTTTGATTCTTTTGTTTTTCAGGATTTTGACATGGATTTGTCCAATTTTTCAGACTTCTATTTTCGTATTTCTAATTTCTTACGGAGTATTTCTTAGTATTTGATTTTTTTTGATTTTCTGGATTTTTGGATGATGGCATACGATTTTGCCATGTTTATGGCAGAAATGTACACTGACAAAATCATATTATGGCAAAAAAGTTTATTAAACTGGCTTTCTATTTTTTTAAATAACTTCGTATTTGTAATTTTCAATTGTGTTAGCTTGCTTATTCAATTACAATTTGGAATTTTTCGAACATTTGATTAATCATTTCATGTTTTTGCCAAATATATGGCAGTTTTGTGTTCCTATTTCAAGATAGATCTGCCAAATCTGTGGCAGATTTGAAATCCTTGTTCATGGCAAAATTCAAATGAATCTACCAAATTAAATCTGACAATAATATGACAGTTTTTTTGAGTCAGAGTTGTGATAGTGCTCGGTGGTCAAGTTTCTACCGGTGGTGGTCGGAGGATGGAGGTAGCTGCGGCGGATGGTGACTCCGATGTGGGAGGGCGGTGACAGGCGGTAAAGGTGGAGGCATACAACGCCGGCGAGGGTGGTGACAAGCGGCGGTGGCAAGTGGCAACTGCGTTGAGGCTGGCTGAAGGTCTCGTGTGAAATATTAGGGTTTCCTGAAATTTTAATTTTACTTTTTAAATTTTATATTCAAATAAAACTGAATGGGGGCATTTTTGTACAAATAGGTATTTTTAAGTCCTATGAAACATAGACTCGTTTTTTGGTCCCGTTTGTGCACACCAAACTTGTTTTAGTCCTAGATAGGTCATTCACTCAAATACAAAAGCATATACTGCGTATGTAAATCAATCAACTAAAGTAAACGGAGAAACAAATAAAATCAAACAAATTCTTTAATGAAAGTGACAATGGCAGCAGCCCTTCTAGGGTCAATCATTTCAATACCATGAAACCCAACATCGTCAAACCGAGCCTCCACCTTCGCACCATTCATCACCAACATCTGCACAAACTCTTGTTGCCGGTCAATCAAAGTGTCCCCTCCGAATCCGATCACCAGAAACCTCCCCACCCGCCGCAGCTTCGCCATGCTCTCCTGGTCCACCATCGGGTTGCAGAACCTATGGTCCCGGTCCGATCCCGGTGGAAGCGCCAGCTCCCACAGCACGTCGATCACCGGCAACGGGAAGTACGGGTCCGCCGCCATCTTCAGCTCCGACCGCGTCCGCTTCTTCCCGCCGAACAAGGGTTGGTTTAGTATCACCCCGGCTAGGGTTACGCCTTCCAGGTCGAGATCGAGGCACCTCAACGCCGCGTTGTATGCGATATTCGCCCCGCAGCTGGACCCGTAGAGGTAGCACCGCGAGAAGTCGCCGTAACGGCGGAGCCACTCGTCTCCGCCGTCGCGGTTCGTGGATTGTTCGTTGACCCATTTGACGGCGTCGATTGCGTCCTCGTACTGCGACGGGAGGCGATGCTCCGGGGCATTACGGTAGTCGACGGCGACGACGATGGACGGGACCTGGGCGGAGACCTTGTTGCAGCCCTCGTGGACGATGGAGTTCGCCACGTTGAACGTGATCCAACTGCCGTTCCGAAAGTATATTATGATGGGCAGCTTTTCGTTGCCCTCGGCCCGCGGCCGGTATATTCTCATCCAAGTTTTCTTCTCCTCCGATAGGGTGACGTCCTTGCTGAGGACGGCGTGGCCGGAAGCAGACTCACCGGTCGCCGGAGTTGTCGGGAGGTTGAGGAGGCGGGTGAGGGTTCCGTCTTTGTTGAGGATCACCTTTAGGTGCTCGTAGGGATCGAAGTGTGACATGATTAATTATTAATTGGTAATTATTTTGAGAACACCTTTTAATTAATACACTCGTGAAAGAAATTAATCTTTTGAAAGCTAAGCAATTCAAGCGTCTAGCTAGATGTCAAAAACTATATATGCGGCATATAAATAACGAAGACTTTGATATAAATAATGGCCAGGCGTGATAATCGGTTGGTCAAAATGTTTGATTCACACAAGATATAGGTGGCCAGGAGCGGATCTGGTATAGGGCCAGGGAGGGCCTAGGCCCCACCTCAAAAAAAAAAAGAAATTACTAGTATATATATATATATATATATATATATATATATATATATATATATTATATATGTACTAGGAAGAAATGATATAATTAGAACAAACGTCCTATTATAAACAAAAGTTACGTTAGTGTGATGGTAGAGACGTGATTGGCAGTGTAGAGGTTATGTGTTCGATTCCTAGCTGGAGCAGCCTTTTTTTATCTTACACAAATCAAGTCTGAATTTTAACTTTTGAATACTAGGATGAAAAAATTAAGTAGTCCAACTAATTGGACTTTATTAGTCTGAAAAACCAATTAGTTCAATTGATTGAGCTTTTTGAATATTGTCCTAAAAATTAATTAGTTTAATTCATTGGGCTTTTGAATATTGACTGAAAAATTAATTAGTTGAATACATTGTATTTCGTAGGTGAAAATAACTTTTCTTTACCTAGAGTATAGATTTTAACAATGTGGTTAGCTAGCTTTCACTACCTAAGGTGGCTAGCTAGTTTTCACTACCTATTGTATATAATTGTGGTTAACAATGTGACAATGTGGAAATAAGGCTGCTTTAGCATGGAAAATAAATATTCGTACATAAGCAAGCATCGAACCAATAAATGATGTATAGTAAATGTCATTTTTATTTTTTAGAATGGGAAGAAATTAAGAGTAATGACCGAATGAAAGATGCCCTGTTATATGGTTCATTGGTTATCTAAAAGTTTTAGAATAAATGGCACTAATATTACCAATGATGTTTTGAATTCCAAGAATATGACTTGATGGAGTATATGGGTCTAGGCCTCAGGACCCACATACTCAGAACAGAAAGCACAGCTACTACGCGGTGCCCTCGTCGGCCAGAAGACCCTCGTCGGCTGAAGAGGGGCCAACCCAGAATATGATCTTGAGGCCAAGGAACCAGGGTGTCCTCGTCGGCCGTGCCCTCGTCGGCCAAGATTCTCGTCGGCCACGGGAGACTCACAGAACCGGATTTTACACTTACTCATTTGTATAGCCCACCAGTGGTTTTGTATTCGGCCCAGTAGCGGCCCAGTTGTAAATGGGCCTCCCAAGCCCAAGGTTTGGGAGCCCAGCCCGTATTTTTCCTATAAATACTTCCTCTGGAGGTAGTTATAGGGGTTACAAAATCATTCTATTGAAGCATATATTGCATTTCTCTCTCTAGCTCTCACTTCTCTCTAGATATATACTCTATCATTTGGTGCTCTCGTTGAGAGCTAGAACAATCAAGTTAGCACCCTTCGTCGCTACCAAGCACAGCTAACCACTGATCATGGGAAGAACTAAGTCAAACCGCAACCTCGTCAGCAAGGCCATCCCTGAGGACCAGGAGACCAGGGAGCACGAGGAGGATGCTACGGCCGACCAGGTCGGCGGAGGGGACATCTTCCAGGAGGCCATCAACCTCATGACGGACCTCCGCAACCAACTCAATGGCGGAGCCCCTGATGCCCGCATCGGCTTGGACAAGAAACGAGCTGAGAAGACAGACCACGCCCCGGCCCAGCCTATGGCCGCGGCCTCTCCGTCTGTGGATCCACAGGTCCAGGCCGCGCTGTCGGTCATCATCGCCAGCTTGGCCCAGAACCCCACCGTCCTCAGCGCTCTCTTGCCAAGGACCGGGGGGGAACGTCACTCCACCTCCTCAGCCCCAACCGTTGGCCGTCCAGATAGGCAACGATGAGGGGGTGATGGCCCAGGACACGGCGTCGTCCCACTCCCACCCCGCTTCCCCTCTTCGGCCTGGGCAGACCCCAGCGCGTGGAAAAGCCTCTGCCTTCAATAGGCTAGGTGACACGCGCCGTCGTCCGGTTTCGGAGAGGATGGCAGGGCGGATTGGTGAGCGTCGGCTTGGCTCGCCGAGGGAAAGCTTGGGGTCTGTGTCCTGGACAGCGGACCAGCCCCGCCTGGACAAGGGCAAGGGGAAATTGCACGAGGACGACGTGCGCCACCAGATCAATGCAGCCCACGACGAGCGCATGAGAAACCAGCAGGGCGCCGCTGCGGCCGCCAGGGACTTCCGGGACGAGGTCATCGCCCAGCTGGAAAGGAGGCTGGCCCAGATGGAGGCCAGGCAGTCGGCGAACATCCCCACGGTCGGTGCCTCCAACGATCCCGGCCTCAACGCTCTCATGAACAAGGTCAGCGCCCTGGAGAGGGAGTTGGCCGAAGGACGAGGTGACCCTATCATCCAGGTCAGGACGAGGACCCCTTTCACCAACAGCGTGCTCTCGGCCCCCATTCCGGAAAAGTACAGGGGGAACGCCATCAAGTCTTACGATGGCCGATCAGACCCCCAGGAGCACTTCAGCCGCTATCAGAACAACATGTTGATGGTGAACGCGTCGGATGAATATCTCTGCCGTTGGTTCCTCTCTACTCTTGAGGGGCCAGCGTATGAGTGGTTCAACGCGCTCCCCGAAGGGAGTATTGACTAATGGCAGGACCTTGCCCAACGCTTCCTCACCCACTTTGCCGGGAGGAAGCGCTCGAAGAAGTATTTCACCCACCTCCTCTCCGTCAAGCAGCAACATGATGAGTCCCTCCGGTCGTTCATTGATCGGTGGACGAGGGAGACCGAAGAAGTCGAGGGGGTCGATGAGCGCACCCTCCTCGTCCTGTACCAGAGAGCCCTCCGCAGTTCCCCGTACGCTAGGAGCCTCATCACTGACCCTCCAAGGTCGTACGCCAAGGCGCTCCAGCGCGGAAGCTTGTACGCTGACGACGACGAGCTCCACAACCACAAGAAAGAGGGAGGCCATCCCTCCAAGAAGACAAATCCTTCGCCGGCCCCTGGCCCGTCCCTGGCCGGCCAGGGTGCCCAGGGCCGTCACGGCTCTGGTGGACAAAGTAAGAAAGATCGCCACTGGCGGCCGAGGTTGGAACGGCCGAGGGTTGCCCTCACTCACCCGGTCGGCACCATCCTCAACTATGCCGAGAAGCATGGCCTCATCGAGCAGGCTCCTCGGCCGGCCGAGGAGGTCTTTGCCATCCAGCAGGGCGGCACATACTGCCGGTTTCACAAGAACTCCTCGCACAACACCGACGACTGCATCACGCTGAAGAAAGCCATCGAGCGCCTTATTCGTCAGGGGGAACTCTCCCAGTTTGTTAAAGGTGGCCCACGCAAAAATACATGGGTAAACACCTGCAAACCAGTGGGCGAACCCTCTGCGAAGAAGCGGGAGATCGGCAGACTCAGCGACGACGAGGACTTCGAAGAGCCCCCGCCAAAGAAGAACCACATTCACCTCATTGTGGATGGGAATACTGGGGGGGACTCCGTCACCCAGAGAAAGAAATGGGCCCAATCCCTCTACATAGGGGAGGTGTCCCACGTTCCCCCCTAGCCGAAGAAGCAGCGAACAGAGGCGATCACCTTCACCGACAAGGATTTGCCTCCGGTTACGGAATCACACAGGGATGCCCTCGTCATCTGGTGTGAGATCGGTGACACCATCATCCACCACACTTACATCGATACGGGGAGCTCCGTCAACGTGATGTACCTGGACACCTTCAGGCAGCTGAAGCTGGACAAAGCTCTGCTGAATCCGATCAAGACACCGTTATCCGGCTTCACCGGGGACTCTGTCGACGCCTAGGGCACAATAGTCCTCCCCGTGGAGGTCGGTGACGGCCCCCACCGCGCCAAGATTGACATGGAATTCATGGTGGTCAACCTCCAGTGTGCCCACAACCTGATCTTAGGGCGGCCAGCGCTGGAGGACTTGGAGGCCATCATCTCCATGAAGCACTTGTGTCTGAAGTTCCCCACCAACGACGGCATCGGCTACGCCAGAGGAAACCAGAGGATAGCCAGAGCATGCTACCTCAAGCTAACGAGGCCAGTCGAAAGGGAAAGGCAGAGGATAGACACCATCACGGCGGCCGTCGCCAAGGACGAGGAAAGGCCGCATGCCGAACCAGCCGAGGAGGTCGAGGAAGTCCCTCTTAATACCTCCCGGCCGGAGCGGGTCCTCAGAATCGGGAAGCAGCTCCCACAGGACCAGCGGGACGCCATTCTCCTCGTCCTACGGTCATACACCGTTATCTTCGCGTGGGGCCCGGACGACATGCCAGGCATCAGCCGCCAGGTGATCACTCACCGGCTGACCGTCGATTCAGCCTCCGCGCCCGTCAAGCAGAAGCGGCGCTACTTATCCGCCGACAGGCGGGACTTCGTCAAAGGGGAGGTCACCATGCTCCTCTCAATCAACCACATCAAAGAGGTGAAGTACCCGACGTGGCTAACCAACGTCGTCCTCGCCCAAAAACCACCGACATTCAGAATGTGCGTTGATTACACTGATCTGAACAAGGCGTGCCCCATGGACCCGTTCCCTCTCCCCAACATTGATCAGCTGGTGGACGAGATGGCGGGTGCGAGTTGATGTCGTTCCTTGATGCTTTCAGAGGGTACCACCAAATTTCTATGCATGAAGATGACGCCGAGAAGACGGCATTCATGACCCCGGAGGGAATCTTTTGCTACCTCGTCATGGCCTTCGGACTCAAAAACTCCGGCGCCACCTACACTAGGATGGTGGCCAAAATCTTCAGAGCGGTCCTCGGCCGGACGATGGAGGCATACGTCGACGACATGATCGTCAAAAGCAGACGAGCCACCACACATGCCGACGACCTCCGGGATATGCGCCTTCGGCGTCCAAGGCGGCAAGTTCATCGGCTACATGGTCTGCCGGAGAGGCATCGAGATAAATCCGGAGAAGACGCAGGCTATCATCAACATGGAGCCGCCCCACAATGTTAAGGAAGTACAACGGCTGACGGGGCGCCTGGCGGCCCTGAA